ACCATTATAACAATAATAACCATATAACAATAATAACCATTATAACAATAATAACCATTATAACAATAATAACCATTATAACAATAATAACCATTATAACAATAATTATATAATGGTTTCACCTGATGAGTGTGGTCCTCTGGACCAAAAAAACAAAAACAAAACAGATAGTTTGTTCTGTTATCTTCTATTTGAAATCAAAGTATATATAGACACCAACAAAATTTTTGGCATTCTAAATCAATGGTCATTGGAATACAATATTATTTTGAATACCAGTCGTTTCGAGACATTGCCAGTTCGAGACACGTATTTTCGGTTGTTTCGAGACACATCGTATGGACGGTTCGAGACATGTCTATGGTCACTTCGAGACATATATAAAAATAATATATAAGTGTCATATAACATAAAGTAATGAAGGGCAAAAGGCTTTTTGGACAGTTTGAAGAGAAAATCATGACATTTGAAGACTTTTTGACGACCTTCATTAGCCGTCTTCGGTTAGCCGTCTTCGGCGGCACGCCATTTTGTTTTGAAATCGACAACTTTACCGCGTTATTTTCAATCGTTACGGAGCTATTGTATTCAAAACATTCAAAGTTATACTAGAAATCAGAACATAGTATATCAACTTGAGTTTTCGATCAAAAGATTAAGGAATTTTGTAACGCAAAGACATTTTACACTCGAATTTTACGAAGTCACGCCGTGTTTGTTGTCATGTCTCGAAACAACTTTACATAAAGATTGTCAGTCGTGATGGTGCTATTTCATTCAAAACATTGAAAATAATACTAGAAATCAGAACATAGTTTTATGGATGGTGCTTTTGATTGAAGAAATAAAAGATTACTTTATAGAATGACAATTTACAAAACTCTCTTTAAAGAGCATATGACATGAAAACAGTTTTTTGTCCAGTGAAAGAACGGTATTTGAAAACCCTAAATCTAAAATATTTTTCAATTCTGATAAAAACCTGCCAAGTTACAGCTATTCAAAATTAGAAATTTCCCCCTGATTTTTGTCCCATTTTGGGGGACTGGATCCTAGCGTTGTGACGTCATTTTGTTGGCTAAGTTTTACTGCACTCCGCAATCTTCTCTTCGCGCCAGTAAAACCTCTTTCGAATATATCGGATTGTGAGTCAGAAACTAGCGCGTTATTATGCAATACCGATGTGGATATAGAATAGTCAGAATCAGACGAAATTATGGCGATTCAGGATAAAAAAGATAGCTAAAATAATGCTGAAGTGATCGACATAGAATCGCGGTGTATCACTATCAGACCAGCATCGAAGATCCTTATGACTTATATAAACAAACTCTGACTCGAAGAGAAGAGAAGTGTATAAAACTCTTGTATTACAGGCTGTTTGGCTTTATTGAAGCGAAAAGTATGTAAACAAAGAAGCAGTAACCTTAATGAGAGTCTAGCAGCGAACAGAACACGWACAGAATATATGGCTCAGAATATCGTTGTTCTGTTGTTGTTTAGAAGCTTAAACTGTTCAAGGGAAATTAGTTTTCGATGGGTGTATAGAACCTCAATTCTGTAAACCAACACTTGGATTGTACTTGAAAATGATGCGTATTGACTCAGATATTACTAACCGCTAAAATGTCTGCTTTACATARCCCGGGGACGCCAACCCGTGTTTCAGTATACTATAAAGTTTTTCAGTAGCTTGAACACTATCGGATTTTGAAACGCTAAAAAAGGTTATTGTTAGTTGTAGTTATAACATAGCTAATAGGTTATAATAATTCAATATAACTAGATTCAATAGCGGCGATCGAATGTAAAACATTCTTCTTTAAAATGTGCCGAGCACAACGATATGTTTTTCTTTTTCGAAGTCCGCGACAAACTTTTCCATTTTTCACGTAATCCTGGGTCGCTTGGTAATGGAAACACCATATATCTAGAGTATAACTGTTATTTTTGCAGCTAATGTTATTTCTATATCCTGTCACGTAATATCTGCCTTTGTATTTTCGATTTTTGAGAGTGGAACTGCTCACTTCGACCGCCATCTTTGCAACTAACAGATCGCGACCCAACAAAATGACGTCATATGACGCGTTTGGCCGAGCGGAAAAAGAGGACAAATTTTGGGTGAAAAATCACAACTTTCAACGCTCATAACTTTGCGGCTTTTTATCAGATTTGGTTAAAACCCGAGATTTGAGGTTTTTGAATAGCGTTCTTTCAATGGACNCTTCTACAAAATTCCTTAATCTTTTGATCGAAAACTCAAGTTGATATGAACTATGTTCTGATTTGTAGTATAACTTTGAATGTTTTAAATGCAATAACTTTGTAACGATTGAAAATAACGCGGTAAAGTTGCCAATTTCAATTCAAAATGGCGTGCCGAACACGGCTAAAAGTCTTCAAATGTCGTGATTTTCTCTTCAAACTGTCCAAAAAGCCTTTTGCCCTTCATTACTTTATGTTATATAACACTTATATATTATTTTTATATGTGTCTCGAAGTGACCATAGACATGTCTCGAACCGTCCATACGATGTGTCTCGAAACAACCTGTCTCGAACTGGCAATGTCTCGAAACAACCGGGCACCGTAAAGATTTTTACAACACTTTGACATAGCTCCTATGCACAGTAGATAGCAGGAGCCAATTGAAAATTAAAGGAGAAGAAGAAGGAGTGGAAGTGAAAATTTTTTATGGTGTAACCATCGCAGAGAATGATCATCTTCACCCTATTAAAGGACATTGGCAATCAAAATGAAAAACCTCGCAATAAAAGTTCTTATTAATAGTATTACATTTTACAATACACAAAAAAACGGTAACAAGATTACAGGATATCTCTTACATCGAAGAGAGTTCTTTATCTTGATATAATTAACAATTAGATTTCGATGGCAAGTGGACAACGAGCTGATAGCCCGTGAGGCCGGGGAGATCTAACTGTTTTAGTATTATCATACTAGTTGGACAAAAAATGAATGAAATATATAAATAACTAAATATTTTTATTGCTAAAAATAGGCAAAAAGTTGTCGCTTTTCGCTATAGTCGAGGACTATTGAAAATAGACACCGAGTGTAGCGTAGCCAATGAGAATGAGGGATTTGCAATAGTCCACTAGTAAATTGGTAAAATATCCGTAGACACGCGACGTAACGTCTTTAAGAACTTTAAACTACACTGATTTAAGCTAAGTTTCGGCCTACTTTTATGGGAAACCCTGCATTCTTAGGACCTTACAAATCCTACGCAACACCTATGCCCTATGCGCGAGCATGATATCCTAAATGCAAATTTACGCAAAAATTTGCAGAAACTAACATGACTCATCGTAATGTAATGGCGTACGGAAATCTTTCCTTGCTTACGTGTCTCCCGCATGAACATTTAACTAGTAGGGAACTACATTTCATTGTATACACTTATATCTTAAGATGCGCTTGCAGATCACGTTTAAACTGCTCTATTGAGTCTACAGCTCAACGAGCTCAGCTGGCAAACAATTCCAATGTCTAATAGTTCTGGGGAAAAACGAATAAAAAGATTTGTTCTTTGTTGCCTTATCTTGGAAATACTTAAAATTCTGACTGCCTCTAGTTTTAAATTCTGTGTGTGGGCGGAGATAAGTACCGTATTTACCCATGTATAAGCCACTCTCCTAGATAAGCCGCACCCCGAGTTTTAGGAACGTTTTTGAGGAGAAAAAGATGGAAAATAAACTTTTCTCTTTTTGATCGCCACTTGCGGACACAGCTTTCTTTGATTTTAAAGTGCTATTCCACTGCTCGATTTCCGTGATCCATGCATTTCGTATGCAATTACAATCAGTTTATTACCCGGGGGGGTACTCCCCTATATTCGCTATACGGGGACGTGCCGCCAGCTAGAGTATCGTATTCAGCGATTTTACTCTGGAACTGGGTATCGATTTTAGCGATTTTACTCTGGAACAGGGTATCGATTTCAACGAATTTTCTCTGGAACAGGGTCAGGGTTGAATTCCGGAATTATTGATGCTGGACAAAAATTCATGGGGTAAAAATTCGGTCTACACGCAAGCTAGTGCAGGATTTTACTCTGGAACAGGATATCATTTTCAGCGATTTTACTCTGGAACAGGGTATAGTTATCAGCGATTTCACTCTGGAACAGGATCAGGGTTTTGAGGTCCCAGCGGCACACCCCCACCCAAGTTTCGGGGGGTTTATTAAACGTGCAGTGTATGATGATCTTGGAGACATAATTGTAAAGATTGATAATTGAAACTATATTTAAAGAGTTGTTTTCCATTCAAAAGGCAAAAGCAAACTAGTAATTATTTAACTTGAGTGATATAAATCTCATCGTGCCGCCAAACTTCTAAGCATAAGTATATGCCGAAACCGTTTCGTATTTCAAAAAAAAATATTAAAACAGATTGTATTTGTTTAATATAAGGAACAATTTCTTAGGCTTATACA